TGCACCTCAGGTTAGATTTTATTTTCTAGTAACTGTATCGGGAACATATATGTATATCTCAGATTTTCCTTTTCACTTCCCACCACCAGATGCCCCATAGTAGTCTGCATTTGGAACTCAGAACTGGGATAGAAGTAACCACCAATGAGATTCTGATTCTGAAATTCCATAGTTACAATTTCAAAACCAGTTTTGACTCCCCCTTCTCCCCTCTGCCTGCCCCCGCTCTCCCCAGAATTAAGAAACAAATTAAATCATTTTACTTGGCTCCTGACTCTCTTGTTAATAGTTGTAATTGCATTCTCAAACAAAAGGATAGTTGTATTTGGGTCTATTGAGGTGCACGAGCGGTTTGGGTGAGTTATCAAACAGTGAGATTGGATGTGTGCATATTTCTTTCTATTGTTATTCTAATGGTCTTACAAATGAAGAGAAGAATACATATTAGGAAAGCCCATTTTACGTTTGCCTGTAGTTGTTCTGTGACTTGCTTTGGTGCCGTACCGCTGAATTTTTTTTAACTTCTATTATGATAGAACAGAAGATGCTTGCCATATATGCTATGTTTCTGGTTCTGACTTCATTAAATTCATTTTCTTTTTGTACTTATCTATTACAGTTGGAGGAAGATAACGTAAATGAATATGAAGTTTGGCATGGCCTGGCAAACTTGTACTCTAACCTTTCACATTGGAAGGATGCAGAGACATGTTTGGAGAAAGCTAGAGCTCTTATCGAGTATTCAGCAGACACTTTGCATACAGAAGGCAAGATTATGAACTTAATTTATAATGACAGATCCAGCTATTTTGTAGTTTATTAATTGACTTTCTTCCTTCGTTTTCTTTACTTGACATTTCGTTTTCTTTACTTGACATCAAATTAATTAAAAGTAAAAAGGTGATTGCAACTAAGACTGAGGTGTTGGCCTAACATGGTTGTGAGTAACCCAAATAGGACTTGGAAAATTACCTCATTCATGCAATTCTGACTCATGTAGGTACTCTTAATATAGAAATAGCAAAATGAAGTGTTGGATCTGCTTATTGTTGGCAGGTTCAGATAAAGTAACATTTGTTACATTCGAATTAGAATTTAGCTTTTCCTTTTTTATGCACCTTTTGCCTGACCTGGGAGAAACCCTCCTAACAGTTTTAAGACAATGCTTCTTGTGTGATCTACATTGCATTAGATTTTTTATGTAATCATTTACAGTAGTATACATTTTATATGTCATTTTAAATAATTTTAGTTTAGTTATAGGAGTAGTAATAACAGGAGAATTGAGAAAGTGCATGGTGCTTGTTTACTTTGTACCTTGTGAAGTTCAAGCATGTTTCTCTTCCTCCTCCTTTAGCATTATGCGCCCCTTCAATGTTTTTACAGCTGTTATCTGAGAACTTTCTGAAATACTAATTTTGATGCTGCATATTTGATCTTAATACAAGCCTTCCAAAGAGATGTAAAATTTTAGAGTTTGAAACATGGGATAGATTCCANCACTAGGTATGGTATTCACTAGAAATCTTTTTAGTTTGTTTATATATTTAATATGTCCGTAAAAAATGTAGAGAATGCCTAGTTAGCAAACCCCTAATAGTATTGCATGGAGACGAGTCTAAATAGAGCGGAATGATTATTGAGGATTCATATAACCGAACCCAACAATTTAGGAATTTAGAAATAGCTGACTTGCTGAAGTTGCTTTTGTTTCATTTTTCTTTTCTAGGAAGGTTGGTGGGGAGGGAGGGGAACTTACCTCTAAAACGTCACAAACTCTGGTATAGGTGAAGTTTACTGAAACTTGAGTAAATGTTACTATAAGCAAAATCTTAACTTAGTTTTCTTCTAAAATACCAAACATAGTGTATGGCGTCCATTGTGCCATCAGAGTTTTGTAAAGAGTAATTAAGATTTTAATGAGTCACTTCACTTTATGGTATTACAAAATCAACATGAAGCTCTACCATTCTAAGCTTTTCTGATTCATTTGCTTTCTGGTTATGAGAAGTTCTTAATAGACACAGTTCAAAACTACTTAATGTTTTTTCTATAAATGAGTGGTAGAGGGGAAAAAATGACACCTAGTAATTACGATCCTTCCTATTATTTATTTTGTCACAAACGCGTCTTAAGCATTTTGAGGGTCTTGTAAACTAGCTTCATGATGTCCCTTGTCCTACAAAGACTTCTCTGTGTTTGGAGAGGAGGGGAACAATGATATAGTTTGAAATTCTACCATCCCTTTCGCTTATTGATGAAGAGGGTAGAGAATGTTCAAAGAAGTAAAATTCCTCAACTGCAGAGACCAAATATTTTATTCTGTCTTGAACATCTAACAATATAGGCCCAACTTCTTTGACAAATTCTCTCCGAGATGAAGAAAGAAAACTAAATAATTCTCATACATTTACCCTTCTTTTATTTCTTTTCCTTTCCCTTCTCTCTGATCATTAGGAGCCGATGTACCACTATAGTTACGGATTCAGTTGAACTTATAACTTTTGAAGTGGAGCATAAATTTATGTGTAAAACTTCACTAAAGTTGCAATAGATAGTAGACATGAACCCATAATTTTAAAAATATAATAGGTTTAATGTTAAAAACATTAAAGGTTAAACTCATAGATTTTAAATCCTGAATCCGCCTATATTGATCATAGCATTTTCCCCCTCTACAAACAGAGAGGTGCTACTCTTTTGGGTGTGAAGTTATAGAAACACTGTTAGAAACTTCGACCCCCAGTGGCCTTCTTGTTTCTCTGAGAATACACGGGAGTAACAAGATGTCTGTATTGCTTGAAAATTGTTCTAATTTAACATTCAACTCATCATACTATCATAGTGTAATAGGCAGTGAAAGTAGAATGCGTTGAAACACTAGTTGAGATGCGTACAAGCTGGTCCAGACACCAGTGTTACCAAGAAAAGTAGAAAAGCCCTGGAATTAAAGTTGGAAATCAAGGAGAGTGGAGAAACTTTTGAACAAAATGTTGTCTATGGCTTTGTTTTTGTCTATATTAGTGCGCTTGTAGTTGTATTTCTCATTTCTAAGAAAATGATGACAAGTTTGGTGGTTGTCTAGCGTCATTGACAGCAATGAGTTGACATTGAAAAGAGGCAATTTCACCAACAACCAAAAAAAAAAAAAAAAAAAAAAAAAAAAAAAAAAAAAAAAAAAAAAAAAAAAAAAAATTTATTAATAAAAGACAATTTCACCAACAGAATTCTTCTGTATTGTGGTTATGGATATTTAGATAGTAATTATTAGAGCAGTAGTCTAATACTGAGTAAAACTTACCACATTATGAGGTATGATAAGGCTGCATACTTGTTGCCGTTACTTCTTTTCATTCTTTCTTTAGCCGAGGGTCTATCGGAAACAACCTCTTTGCCCTTTCAGGGTAGGGGTAAGGCTGCGTACATCTTACCCTCCCCAGACCCCACTCGTGAGAATTCACTGGGCTTCTTGTTGTTGTTGTTGTTGTTGATAAGGCTGCTTGCTTACATATCAGCTGCGCTTTTCTCTTCAATACCTAAAAGCTTCCTTCTTAACATGAGGGAAAAAGATAAGCAGGGTAAACTTCTATTGATTCTTCTATTTCATTTTGTTTCAGGTGTGATGCTTGAAAGACAGGGCGAAAATGACAAAGCCTTGGCTGCTTATGTAAATGCACTATTAGTAGAGCCTAATCATGTGCAATGCAAGATCTTGCTTGGTGCTTTATTGGCTAAAATGGGGTCGAAGATGTTGCCATTGGCAAGAGCATTATTCTCAGATGCATTGAAGATCGAACCTACCAATCGCATAGCTTGGTACCACTTGGGATTGGTTCATAGAGACGATGGACGGGTAGCTGATGCTGCTGATTGTTTCCAGGCAGCTTCCATGCTTGAAGAGTCTGATCCCATTGAAAGCTTTAGTTCCGTTATTTGAACTATTCCAACCATCTAAAGGTCAAATGCTTATTCTTTGATTCTTTTATTTATACTGGTTTTGGTCACAATGTCCAAAATCATCCTTAGATAACATACAATTAGGAGGTTTTTTGGGGATAATTACATCAATGTTTTAAGAATTTTAGATTAATTGTACTATATGATCTATTGGACAGTCCTTGGAACCCTAAATGTTGGATTTTTTTGCTCGTTCCTCAAAATAGAGTTGCTTCTAGCCTGCTCAACTACTAAACGTGTTGAAGACTATCAATATTCTGCTGCTTTTTCCTTCTTAGTTCCCGATTTCATCCTTACATCTTATCTAGTTTTCATTCGTTCAGTAGATAAACTTCATGTTATTTGTAAGTGTTTTTTGTTTATGAGATTTGGTAAAGAATTATTATTCTCTTTCTGTTTCAAAATGTTCAAAAGTTTAAGCAAATATTATCATTTCCTCAACTTGCTTCACTTCCTCTCCTCAATTTTAGAATATCATCTTTGGAAATGTAGCTTCTGGTTTCTCTTTCTAAGTCAATTCTCATTGATGAAAGTTGTGGTTCCACAGGAAGATAAAGTTCTTAAGATTTGGCTGATTCGAGCCATAGAATAAGCCATTGATGCTAGCATCAGGGTAGACTGTCTATATCACACCCCGCGGGGTACGATTTTTTCTCGGACCCTGTGTGAACGGGAGATGTTTTATGCACCGAATTGCCTTTTTTGCTGAGTTTGTTTAGTGATCAATGATAAAAATCTCGCAGCTGTTACTTTAGCAACATATGGAACCGCTAATCAATGGCCTTCCAGCTAGTCGGTGCACAAGTTTTAAATTTTTTTTTTTTTTTAACTCTGTGTTCAGTCAAATAACATCAAATAGAACAGGAGGACGGAAGAATAGAGTACTTGTAGGTGCAAAAAAAATTCAAACATCAAAACAAGAAGTATCCTAAACTAGTACAAAACAAATTAAACAAGTTCATCAAACTAAAATTATCCAACCATACATGTTTTTCTTTTAAGTTAATTGGCAGATATAAGAAATACCAAAACAACTAAATGAATTAGTTGGTATGATCATGATCTCTCTTCTTTCCCCATTGTTGGATACAAAGCCTAATCTTCTTAGCTGCTGCTAAGTATTCCACAGCTTGAGCAGGTTCAAGTATAACCACAATCTCTTTCAATGTCTTCATCCTCAACTCATCAGCTTCCTCCATTATAGCTGCCATGTATTTGCTATGTTTATCCAACGGTTCATCTGCATTCTCACACTCTACATCATCATCTCCATCTTTCTTCTTCTTCGTCTTGCTAATAAGCGGCTGGTCTACTATCTCTTCTTGCAAGCTAGCCAATCTTGACGAGAGCTTCCCTTCTTCTCGAATCGTCTTGTTTTGCAACTCGTCCACCATATTCATTTGTTTCGCCGTAAACTCACGGATTTCGCCATTTCTTGTTATCCCCTTAAGAAACTGAGTAATATGAGACTCGATTTCCATACCGCAGAAGAGAGCGTAAATGAGACGTACGAATGAAGATGGTCTGCACCCACCAATCCATAGGACTGAGTTCTCCAATGGGGTGCACGAGGTGGGTGCAAAGAATGGTGACACATCCTTTTTGGCTAAGCGACTACGGTTGTTACAGTAGTCTTGGAAATGGTTTATAATTTAATCAATGAGTTGAGTTTGTTTTTCTTCATCTTTTGGGCTGTTTTTGGGAGCTGCTGCAGCTTGTTCAAGTTCCCTTAGTTCTTCATGTTGCAGATTCATCCAAGATTCATATAAGCATTCTAGCTCATTGTTTTTGTTGTTTGAACTTTTCATTTTATTTTTCTGAGAATTAACGAGTTTGTTTCATATGGATTTGATGTTGGTATATTCATGCCGTAATATATAAGGTTCAATTACCTGAAAAAGGACAAAAACAAAACTGAAAAATAATGACAAGAAGCAACTGGACTATCGTTTTTTGTCACGCAATTGGGATATTTGCTGAATAGGTGCAAACTTCAAACGTCGTGTTTTGTCGACATGCAAGAGAAGATAAATCTTGATTTATTTCTTTTCCGTCTTGTTAAGTTATCTAAACTTGTATTTCTTGCACATATCGAGGGTGTTGATTTGCACTATAAAATTTGTGCAAATCTAGTCCCGCGCCATCACTCAACCATCATCATATTTCTCTCGTGTGGAATTTGGATTGTGATATCAGTTCTAAGGCTCAACATATTCAAAGTTATTTTTAATATAATATATTTTCTTCGTTCTAATTTATGCAAATTTGTTTGATTGAGTACGGAGTTTTAAAAAAATAAAGATTTTTAAAATTTATGGTCCTAAACAAGTCAAAAATGGGTACAGAGTATTTGTGTGATTATAAAAGCTTCTCATTAAGGGTAGAATGGTAAGTTTAAGCAAAATTATTTTCAAATTTAGAAATGGTTCATTATTTTTGGAACGGACCAAAAAGGAAATAAGTTCACATAAACTGAAACGGATATAATAATATTATCCGCTTTGAATCAAGCACGTACGATTTTTCTCATAAAACATCGCATCATTAAAAGATGTCTATACCTTATATAGTAATTTCTAATTTTTTTTAAAGAATTTTGTTCGCACACCTAATAAAATTTAATTGCATAAATATAATTTTTTTATATATTATATTAAAATATTGAATCCGTTTAATATATATATATATATATATATATATATATATATATATATATAGAGAGAGAGAGAGAGAGGGGGGTTCAAATCTCAAGGATGGTATATATGAATTTTATTTTGATCGTCTTATCAAAATTTCTTGCTCCAACGAACCCATTAATGTCGTGGCCTTATAAGTGACAAAACAAAAAGGAAACTCTTTAATTAAATAAGATAAGAGAGGAAAATTCAAGAGAAGAAAAGAACAAGTGTAGCACGGGCAAAAAAGGTAGTAAATCTCGGAGCTCCGAAATCTGAATCCTCTGCAGGGTGCCAACTGCCAACCTTAGCTTGTGTCCGTAATTTCACCGCATAAAAAATATGTCATATCTAAAAATAGTACTTTATACGGGTAAAACCGAGCTCATGATACACTCCGATTTCCAATAGGGCAAAACGAGCTCGAAATATGATTGCGAAGGATCGGAATCGAAATAAAGGTCTCATCGGGTCAGAATCCGGAGACACGTTGTCTGCCTTCGAAAATATCCGGTGGGGGGGGGGGGNAGAAGGCCGTAATATTCGCGACAGGTCAAATATCACGGCGTGAATCTCGGCACGTATCGATGAACAACCGGCAATCAGTTAAATAGAAAATTTTTACCTTTTATAGAGTTGTACTTAGAGTAGGATTCTCCTACTATATAAAGGGACGGTCTAATAATTCATTAGGCACATTGTAACACACATTCCAAAGTAATATACTACTATTTCCACCGTTATTGTAAGCTTTTCTCTCGTTCATAAAAGTTGTCCATTGTGAGCCCGGATCGAGGGTGAATGCTTCACTAAGGCTGGAATCATCCTCCTCGCGTGGTTTTAATTTACTCTATCTTTACTTGTCCATTCTAACTCAATTTATCGTTTTGTATCAAATTAATCCGCATATCTTTAAAACCACTTACAAATTTAATTGTTATCCGATTTTCAGGGTAAACAGTTTGGCGCCCACCGTTGGGGCTAAGGAAGATAGTGGCAATTTGATATAAATTTCCATAACACACCCTACTTCACACTTGCTCTTTGAAGAGTCTTTGATTTCAGGTCAAAGTTTGAAATGTAGAACTCTCAATCTGCCCCTCTAAACATGGATGATGAGTCTGGCCACCATAGCGAGAACAATAATACGGTGCCCGGACCCGATCGACGCCAACTCATATATGGCCATTAACACGAATTTGCCTATCGTTCCTGGGAACATCATCCGCTGGGGAGTCCGGTCGGTAGCCCAAATTGCTCGTGACGATGAAGGAGATAGGATCAACTTACGGGTGATCTTCAAAATGTTGCCGGCTCAGCAGGCAGCGATAGCCCAACTGCAGAACCAAAGTCACGCTCCTAGTAGAGTTGAACCCGAACCGTCCCGGAAAAATACTCGCAGAAATGTACCAGCCACAGATACGCCAAATGAAGTTGAACCCGGGACCAACCCTGAGATAATAAAGATGCTCGAAGAATTGATAAAACAGGTAGAAACGGGAAAAAAAAAATTGAAGCCAACGGCAAGAAGGTGGAGACCTACAACTCTAGGGTCGACCAAATCCCCGGAGCACCACCGATATTGAAAGGCCTAGACTCCAAAAAGTTTGTTCAAAAACCTTTTCCTCCTAGCGCAGCGCCGAAGCCGATCCCGAAGAAGTTTTGCATACCTAAAATTCCTAAGTACAACAGAATAACTGATCCAATTGAATATGTGACCTCGTACACGTGTGCGATGAGATCTAATATGTCCTGCTGAAAAAGTTCAGAGAGACCTTGTCAAAAGGAGCAATGATATGGTATCACAACTTGCCCCCAAATTATATTAACTCATTTTCTATACTTGCAGATGCTTTTGTAAAAGCGCACGCTGGAGCCATTAAGGTCGAGACCAGGAAGTCGGACCTTTTCAAGGTAAAACAAAGAGATAACGAGATGCTCAGGGAGTTCGTGTCAAGGTTTCAAATGGAACGGATGAACCTGACGTCGATGCCAGACGATTGGGTCGTCCAGGCCTTCGCCCCAAGGACTCAATACTCGAAGCTCATTGGCTTCGCAGTAGTTGAAGCAAAATCTGGTAGAATATACGGCTGTAACTTGGGCCGATGTACATAACCGGTACCAATCAAAAATTAGGGTAGAAGATGATCAGCTTGGGGCCCCTTCCCGGTTTGTTTATCCCGTCTGAGCTAATGATAGATCCAAAAGAGACGTTGATCATGAACCAAGGTCAAGTAGAGATCGGTATCAACCGTACAACGGTGATTGTAGGGGTAACGGGTCTGGACGAAACCCTGTGAGAAGTGAAAGAAGAAGCGATCGGTGTCAAAATAACCGAGGATTCATGAGTAAAAATGGTTTCGACAGGCCCATCGGGCCTAAAGAAGCGCTGAGGTTATCGGAGTACAACTTCAATGTCGATGTTGCTGCTATCGTATCTGCCATCGGACACATCAAAGATACCAAGTGGTCTCGACCTATACAGTCCGATCTAGCCCAAAGGGATCCCAACTTAATATGTAAATATCATGGCACTCACGTCCACATAACAGAGGATTGCCGACAATTGAGAGAGGAAGTAGCCCGGTTATTCAACAACGGACATCTCCGAGAGTTCCTGAGCGATCGAGCCAAAAACCATTTCAGGAATAGAGATTCTAGTAAGCAGATCGAGTAGGAGGAGTCTCTGCCCGTCATTAACATGATCACCAGGGGGGTCGACGTTCCCCAGGGACCGATGTTAAAGCGCACCAAATATCCATCACAAGGGAAAAATGGACTCGAGATTACGTACCAGAAGGAACATTGTCTTTAAACGACGAGGACGTTGAAGGCATCGTACATCCCTACAACGATACACTAATAATATCTGTACTCATAAATAAATCTCGAGTTAAGTGTGTGTTAATTATTATAGGTAGTTCGGCCAATATCATTAGATCGAGGGTCGTGGAACAACTAGGTCTACAAGACCAAATCGTACCTGCAGTCAGGGTTCTAAATAGATTCAACATGGCATGTGAGACAACTAAAGGGAAGATAACATTATCGGTGAACACCGCCAGAACCATTCAGGAAACAAAATTCTGCGTGATCGAATGAGACATAAGGTACAATGCTCTGTTCGGGAGACCATGAATTCACAACATGAGGGCAATTCCCTCGACGATGCACCAGGTGCTGAAATTCCTGACGCCATGAAGGACTAAAACAGTTTACGGAGAACAACCGGCTACAAAGAAGATGTTTGCGGTCGACGAGGTGATCCTGGTATCCGTACTTTCGACGTTGAAGGGTCTAGGTCCGGTGTCCAGAGACGAAACCAAATAGCAATTACAGATACCTCCCTCGATCGAACCAGAGAAGCATGGGATGGATGAGGACAACGACTACGTTCCTAGGTCTTTCATAGTCCCTGATGATTTCGACGCCCCCAAATCAACAGTCGAAGAACAGGAGCAAGTCATATTGATCAAGCATATGTCTGATCGTAAGGTACACTTGGGCACGGGGCTAAGTCTCGAGCTCAGGAAAAAACTCATTCAATTCCTTATAGCTAACATAAATTGTTTTGCTTGGTCCCACCTCGATATGATGGGGATTCCGCCGGAGATAACTACTCACAATCTAAGCCTGGATCCGAGGTTCCATCTGGTCAAGCAGAAAAGGAGGCCTCAGCCCGAAGTCAAGCATGCATTCATCAAGAACGAGGTATCTAAACTTCTTAAAATAGGGTCCATCCGGGAGGTTAAGTACCTAGATTGGTTAGCAAACATAGTAGTAGTCCCTAAAAAGGGGAATAACTT